CTTACCTGAGATGATGGACATAAGTGCCTCTTGTATGGAAAGTTCCATAAATGGTATGAAGTAAAGGCAGCAGGAACAGAAGTGTGGGGAGAAGCAAGGTTTGGTGAGAGGGGCCTACCATGAGCCCCTGCTTCCTCTGACCGGGGCCTGGCCTGCTCAGGTCCGTGGCCAGCCAGCTCCAAGGAGGGGAGCAGGTCAGGAGGCCAGCTCCAGGGAGCATGGGCTTTCCAGCCGGAGAGCAGTTAGGGGGCCATGGAGGTCCATCCAGGACAAAGGTGATGGTGCGGAGACTGGGATGGGGAGGTGAGAAGTTTGCAGGAATCCCAGCCTCTGTCCCATTTCCAAGCAGTCCAGAGACGCTCCCCATGTCTGAGCAGTTGCCGTGTGCCCAGAAGGGAGCTGCTGCAAGAGAGAGCTTTTGGGGTATTTCAGACCTAGAAAGGGGATTTGTCCAGGCCCAGCTGGTCTGGAGGGCAGAGGCACATCTTTCAGCCAATTAGGTGGCTGGTGGAGGTCTTCGCCCTGGCTGGCACTCCCAGCCAGCGAGGTTCTGGCTCCAGGGGAGGTGGGGTTCCCAGGCCTGGGCTATCTGGAAAGTCAAATCCCAGGAGAAATGGAGGGACTCCAGAGAAAGATGACATTATTGTGCTGGGGGCTGAAGGGAGGGGAGAGGTTGAAGTTGAGATAAGCTTCTGTATGGGGCCATTTAGCCTGGTGCCTGCAGGGGAAGGGTGACAATGGGGGAATTTAGTGGGAAAGCCAAGGGAAAGGCAGTCACAGGCCCCCTGAGCTGTCATGGGAAATGAGAAGGAGGCCCGGGACTGAGGCCTCTTGTCCACCTCTGAAGGCGGCTCTTCCTTCAAGGGGCTCAGGCTCTGGTGGTCAGGGACCCCCAGCCATGCCACACCCCTGTGTCCAGTGCACACAGAGGGCCTGCCCTTTCCTCTGTCACCTGTGGCTGCCCCGTGACTACTCACACTGGACACTCACATACATATATGCATGTGTGTGCATATATCTGATTATAAAGAAGTAATCCATACCAATGGGACACAACACAAAAGTTACAGAAAGGTATAGAGTGAAAGTGAGTCCCCTCCCACCCAAGCCCCCAGCCACCCAGTTCTCCCCAAAGCATCACTGAGCCCACTTTCTTATGTAGCCCCCTAGAAAAAGCCAGTGCCTATACAAGCAAATATACTTTTATACTTGGAGAAAAAAAAAACTTGTCCACAAATGGTAGCAGATTAGGCACCCCGTTCTACACCTTGCTTTTGTTCACTTACAGTAGTTCTCAAAAATTGTTCCGGGCCTTACGCTGCAGAGAATTCCATTGTTTGGAGGTGCGATTGTTTCTTTACCCGATGCCCTATTGATGGACACAGGTCATTTCCAAGCTTTCGCTGTTGCTGTCATTTCACCCCTGCACAAGTGTGTCTGTGGAGGATAAATTCCTTGAAGAGTTGGTGGATTGGAGGTGGGTGCACTTTGAGTTTTGATGGAATTGCTAAACTGCTCTCTGTCAACGTCGTACCGTACTCCAGCTTCGGTCCCCTAAGCCCTGTGCGAGCATGCCTGGGTCTCCGCAGGCTGGCCAGGGAGTTATCACACCTTCAGATCTTGGCCAAAATGATAGGAAAAAACAGTATCTTATTGAGTTTTAGTTGGCCTTTCTCTTATCTTGAGGTTCAGCATCTTCGTATATGTCTCAGAGTTATTTGTAATTCTTTTCTGTGAACTGTTCATATCCTTTGCCCATTTTTCTGTTGGTTTGTTCAGCTTTTTCTTATTGATTTATGGGAATATTGTTTACATCAGGAAAATGAGCTCTTTGTCCATGATATAGGTTGCAAATATTTTCGCCCAGGTTGTCATTTGTTGCTTTTTGTTTATGGGTACCTTTTGTTCCCTGCAGAATTTTTATAGAGTTGAAGGTATCAATCTGTTTTATGACTTCCTGGAGTTTGTGTAGTACTTAGAAAGTACTTGGCGAATAGTTTGCTTTGCCAAGAGTATATATATTTAAACCTCTGTGATTTTTTTCTAGTTCTTTTAGAATTCATTCTTCATGTTTAAAACATTGATCCATCTAGCATTTATTTTGAGGTAAAGTGTGAGGAAGAGATTCAACTTTTTTTTTCCCCCAAATGGCTTCCTAGCTGTTCCAAAGCCATTTGTTGAATAATTGATCTTTTCCCCACTGACTTGAAATTCTGCTTTCATCATATATTAAACAATCCCGTATGGATTGGGATCTATTTCTAAACTTTCTAGTCTGTTGCTTCATCAGTCTGTTCATACAAGAGCACACTGTTTTAATTATCGCAGCTTTATAATATAGTTCAATATCTGTGCTAGTCTCCTCTTCTTATCATTCTTTTTCAGAATTTTCTTGGCTATCCTTTTGCTATTTTTTAAAATGTGAACTTTAGAAGCACTCTGTCTAGTTAAAAAAATCCATCCTGTGTGTGTGTTTTCAAAGTGAGGAAAAGTTTAAGAGAATGACATCTGTATAATGTTGATTCTTTTCTCTCCACAATACTCATCCGTTCTCATTTTTCCCTTTCCCATTGAGAAGGTGGCTAACAGGGCTGTTGTGTGCAGTTGTGCAAGTTGTATACTGCACAATCCTAGGACTAAAGGTCAAAGGAGCTGCTGGCTCCTGCTAGCAGAGTATGAGCTCTTCTCTCAGGGTAATCTGTCCATCTGTATATATGACTAATAGGAATAAGAGCCACCCCTCCTATACCATGTGCCAGGGACTTTGCTAAGCACTTTGTGATTTTAATTTATGTAATCCTCACAACAAATGTAAACTCAATTTACAGCTAAAGAGACTGAGGTGCAAAAGGTTAAATAATTTGCCCACTGTCGATGATTTGTGTTACCCACCTGTGCATTCATGACACAAAAATTTGTTCCTGCACATAAAGACACACACAGAGACACACAGGTACACATACCTGCATACGTACACAGATGCACACAGACACTCAAAGACACGCACGTGCACACACAGACACAAACACGCATGCACACACTGCTATCCCCACCCATATCCTTTTCCCATCAGTGTCTTTCCTCCCACAACACACACATTTGCAGTCCCTGCAGTCTCCTGCTTTTGGAGGAGGGCCGGCCCATCAAGGAAAACCGGCCGGCTGGACTCCCTGCCATTGCTCTCAGTCCTGCATAGAACCTCCCCCCTCCAAATCCCTGTAGCCCAAAGGCAGGGGCTTTTCAGGAAAAGAGGGTGTGACCGAGCATATGGCAGGGCCTCCTTGGGGAGAGGAGCCTTAGTCTCTCCCGGTCCCCTTGTGAGGATAACGTGAGATGGGGGATGCCGAGCACCCAGCTCAGGGCTCGGTAGCCAGCAGGTTCTCAGGAAAGGACATGGCCCCTCTTTCCTCTTCCCCCAAGTCATTATCTCTGGCAGCCACTGGAATCAACCCATCCAAGCAAAAGTCATCCTGCTCCTGGCTGGCACCCCTGGGAGAGCCTGAGGAATGAACTGGCAAACGCAGACCTGGGAGCAAATTGCCCAGCGAGCCAGTTCACAGAGACGAGGGCGTCTGGGTGCAGAGCGCGTGTGTGCGCGTGTGTGCGTGGAAGCACGCACACCGCCTGCCCCCTCTGACTGTTCTGGCTCTGAGTCAGCCCCACATCAAAGGGATTTAATCACTCTAGGGCTGGGAATGTTATTGTTTTAAAACAAATGAGTGATGACAGGAACTAACAGAGGGTTTTGCAAAATGGGATTCAAAGGGCTCTTGAAAGCTGCTGGAGAATATGAATGCGCCTTTGAAGTGCCAATATGCCCATTTGTTAAACTGAGAGCAGAGCTGGCTGCCTCAGGGTGCGGGGAATCATTTTCCTTGGTAAACGGGTGCCTGCTGGTCTCTCTGCCCTCCGTCCCCAGGCCAGAGCTGGGCTAGGACTCTAGAAGCAAGGGCCAGGGGGTGGTGCCCACTCCCTCGAGTACATGCTCTCAAAGAGGTGCCTTTTCAACCATTTTTAAGGCACACGTGACAGTTGTTAAGAGCGAAGGAGGGGTGTTTGAGGAAGCAGCCTCAAATTGGGATTGAAGCATCAGCTTCTCGCGGAGAGATGGTGGTCCAGGGTGGGCCTTTCGTGCATGCCTGCACTTGCTCTGCCAGCGCCATCAGTCCTCTCCCAGGTTTGCCCCTCTGGTGGCCCCCACGGTGAGGGTCAGTAGCAGGGATGAGGTTCAAGGAAGACTCCCCCAAATAGTGACAAGTTATACACTCATAAGATTGAGACCTTGGGCATGGGGTGGGGTGCTATGCAGCCTGGCCCTTTGACCTGGGTCTCAAGCGAACCTTACCGCTTCTGTTGAGTTGTCAGTCTGTGCTTGAGCCCAGAGTGAGGCTGTGACACAAATGCATAACCTATCTGAAGGCCATGGACACCCAATTCTGGTTAAATCCGAGGGTGAGAGGACAGAAGGATCACGTAGCCTGCTGGTGGAGGGTGCCCACTGAACGGACTCTGCCCTTGAAGCCTTTGAGGGCTTTCCCCCAGTCTTGGGGAGCAGGACTCAGGACACCCCCCATCACTGTATCTTATGTCAGCCCACCACCCTGTTTCCCTAGCGACATTTACGTTCTCTTTGGCTGAGGTGCAGTAAGTGCCTCCCCTTCCTTCTGCTCTGAAGGGAGAAATCCAGAAGCAAAGGGAACGGAATGGATGGGGATCCCTAGCAGGGAGAGACGGAAGGTACCAGAGTGTGGGGGTGGCGGCAGAGGTGGGAGCCTGGTATGGTCTGGGAGGAGGGAGGTATGGGGCTGGTTGGTAGGCGTGGAGGACTCATTCTGAAGACCAAGACCAAGCGGAGTTCAAGTCCTTCCCAGCCACGTGACCTTGGGCAAGTTACCTGGCTGCACCTGCTCCGTCTGCCTAGGGGCGTGAGGGCGTGAAATGAGCAACCGCACAAAGGTGAGCAAGTGGTAACCCTGGTTTTGTGTCTCTGTTCCCCGCAGATGACGTGGCCCCCTATTTCAAGACGGAGCCGGTGCGGACGCAGGTGCACCTGGAGGGGAACCGCCTGGTGCTCACGTGCATGGCCGAGGGCAGCTGGCCGCTGGAGTTCAAGTGGCTCCACAACAACAGGGAGCTGACTAAGTTCTCCCTGGAGTACAGGCAAGCCGCGCCCCCTCCTGTCCCGCCCGGCTGCTGGGACCACTGCCTGCCCTGGAGGGGTACCTGGGTGGGGGCTTGTGTGGCAATTTGGGGGCAGGGGCTCCCACTCCAGTGCTACTGGGAGGCTGGGGTGGCGAAGTTGAGGGGCAAAGATAGCCCTGTCCCAGGGGTGAGAAGTCCCCCCATGGTGAGCCCAGCAGAGGATGGCTGGGTGGTGGGCCGAGGGCACTGCCCAGACAGGGTGGCCCATGCCATAGTGGATGGGGCAGAGGCAAAGATTGGGGTAGGGGAGCTTACTATTACTATGGGAGCCGCGGCTGTGACCAGAGCCCCGTCCTCCCTTCCCCACCCCAAGAACTCTGCTATCTCTAGGAGGTGCTCTAAGAGGGGCCTGGGCCCAACAGAGGGGCAGGGCATGCTGCACCCTGGGTTCAGTAAGGGAACCACATCTTCTTTTTAGGGGAGCAATTCAGGTGGGACATGGAGGTGGCCCCGCCGGGGCCTTTAGGCTTACCTCCACTCCCTGTTTGTGCCCCTGCACTGGGCTTTGGGCTGGCCCTTCCCTCCCCAGGACACTGCCAAGTGGGGAGAAGGGAGAGGAGGGAGAGAGAACAGGGTCTCAGCCAGGGCAGGTTTGCTGCTAGAAGTGTGAGCCAGCGAGCATGGAGCAGCTACTCCCCAAGCCCCGCCGGCCTCCAGCCCTTCCACGCTCTCCCTCTGTCCTGCTCCTGTCCCCCATCCAGGCCTTTGTTATTGGCTCCCAATCCTGTGGCTGGTGGTTAATCCCCAGACCTGATGTGCATAATTGGTTTTGTTGGGGAAACAAGATTGTCTTGTCCTGGGAATGTTGATACAAATCTGCCACCAGGGACAGGAATGCAAATGAGGGGAGGGGGCTTTAATTGCTTGAGGGTCTGTCCTTTCCAGAGAACCATCCTTGTATTTACAAGCAGGGAGGCCAGAGTTTGGGGTGACCTCCACCCCCGGTTCCTTCTGCCCCGACCCTGGACTGGATTGGCTGGTGGGTGTGGACAGTTTGGCAAAAGAGGGAGCAGGAGGGGCCAGGGCAGGAAGACCAGCTTCCCATCTGTGGACAGTGAAGGGACGGACCACTCTGGCCCTTGGGTGCCCAGGGAGCCCAAGAGGAGACCAGAGGGCCCTTCCTGAGCAGCCCCTGCGACGGATTTCAGTTGGGGGCCCAGAGCCACTCCTGACTGCTGTCTGGCACCCCCGGGCAGGGCTGGCAGTCTGTGAAGAGCCCCACATCCTCTTGGATGGTGGGCATGCTGGCATGGGACACCAAGAGCATGCGGATGGCATGCCAAGGGTGTGAACACTACCGGGGCCTCCCAGCCTGCCCTCGACTTCTGCTGGCAGGGAGGTTCTCCTGGAGGCAGGTTCCAGGAGGAGGAGAGTTGGTTCTCTGTCAGGTTCAGAGCCACTCCCTTGGCGCCCTGGGACTGCAAGGACACAGAAGCAGATGCTAGCTCAGTTTAAGGATTAGGCTTGCCCAGCAATGGAATGGGCTACCTCTAGAAACAGTCAGCTCTCTGTCCCTGGAGGCAGACAGCCAGCGGTCAGAGTCCAGCTGCTGATGATGGTAATAATAATGATAATCACTGACAACGAAAAAGAAGGTATTACGTGGCAGACATTGTGATGTGCGCTCTGTGATTATCTCCTTTAATCCTGCCAGCAATCCCGTGAGTAGGTCCAGTTATTTTCTCCATTCTACAGATAAGCAAACTGAGCTTGGAGAGACTAAACAACTCCCCAAGGTCAGTTTGTTGAGCTGGGCTTCAAATATAAGTTATTTGACTCCAGGGCTGGAGTTCTCACCATCCACCACACCGCCTCTCGTTGAAGAATAATCGCGGCCATCGCTTCCTTAATGTGTGTCCTAAGCAATCTTTCCACTAACTGTGCAAGTTCTAGAAAACAAAGCAGTGGAGAGAATGCAAATATTCTATTTCAGAGCTTGGTTGGGTGGAAGTTATTCGAGCTTCCACTTGGGAAACTCACTCCCTTGCCTCCTCACCCCCAAGAAGGCTGGCTGTTACGCATGGCGGCAGCCGGGTGCCTGAGTGCAGGTCTGATCAGGATTCTCCTCTCATCAAAAATGTGCTGTGCCCACAAGGAAAGGTCTGCACCCTTAGGATGGCCTTCAGAGCTCTTCCAGGTCTGCTACTGAGAGCATCTGCCTTACCCCCTGCTATTCCCATCTGAGGTAGCATCCCTGCTATTCCCATCTGAGGTAGCGTGCTCCCACCAAACAGGACCATCACATCGCGGGTCCCAGGACCATTCCCTATTTGTGTGCTCTCTTCTGCCTTGTCCAAACTGTCCCGTCCCCTCCACTTGGAATATTGCCCCTTCCAGAACCTTCTTTCTCCTGCAGGGCTCTAGCTCTTTCAGAAAGCCTTTCCTGATAGTACACGGGTGTGGTCTCAATCTCAGTCTCTCTCTCTTTCTTATACACACACACACACACACACATTTCTGCCTCTCTCTGCCCTTTTTGACTGTCCATAATACATCCCATTACACCTTGCCTTCTGATTATTTACATGAGACACTGCAAGTAGACCATAGACCTGAGGTCAGAGCTTCAGGACCCTTGGCGGTTCCAGGGACCTCTGGACTTAGAACCAAGAACTTGATACTGCCAGGCCCTCTCCTCTCTGGGCTGCTCAGCTAGACCCACCTCTGGGTTCAGACTTCCTTCCCACATGGTGAGTGACACTGACAGGTGCAGGGAGCACAGGCTTAGAGCCACATGATTTCAGAATGGAAAGAACTTCCCTGAAAGTTTCAGGTAGAAAGTCCCAGGGAAGGATTCTGATTGGCCCAGCTCGGATCATCTCTGACCAATCCTGGTGGGCAGTGGCATGAAGCACCGTGGTTGGCCAGGCCTGCATCGTGTGTCTACTCCCGGCCATAGGACACTGTGTGTGGCCGCCCCCACACTAGAGCCACATGGTGGGAAAGAGGGCAAGAGCTGTCAGCAGAAGGGAAAAGGGTGGTGGGGCAGACAGAAGCCACCCGTGTCCACTTCACCACCCATGCCCCCAGTGAGGGCCCGGCTCACAGCAGATGCTTTTCTTTCTTGCTTGCTTGCTTTTCTTTTAATTTTGAAAATTTTCAAATCTTAGAAAAATTGTAAATATAGTGCCATAAACACCTGTATACATTTTACCATCCACCAGTTGTTAATGTTTGGCATCCTTTGTGCTCTCTCTCACTCTTTCTGTACACATGTATGCACACACGTTTTTGCTGTACACACGTATGCAGGTGTGTTTTTGCTGCACACACGTATGCACGTGTGTTTTTGGTGTACACACTTATGCACACGTGTTTTTGCTCTACACACGTATGCACGCGCATTTTTGCTGTACACACATACGCACATGCGTTTTTGCTGAATTTTTTAAGAATTAGTGGCAGACATCATGTGACTTCACCCCAAGTAGAGTGTCCTAAGAACAAGTCATTCTCCCACATAACCGCACTGCAACTTTCACACTCAGGAAATTTCACACTGATACAATACTACCATCTAATGCAGAGTCCATATCCAAATGTCTCCATTTGTCCCAATTATGTCCTTTGTGGCCATTTTTAGTGTTGTTGTTCAATGCAGGACCTAATTGAGGACTGCACATTGAATTTAGTTGCCATGACTCTTTAGATGCCTTAAATCTAGAACTGCTCCTCACTCTTTTAGCCTATCTTTCATGGCATTTTTGAGAGTTCAGCCAATTTTGCAGAATGTCCCCCAGCGTGGATTTGTCCAGTTACATCCTCATAATTACACTCATGTTAAACCTTTTTGGCAAGAATGTTATGTAGATATGCGTCCTTCTCAATGCTTCATACCTGAAGGCACACCACGTCAGTGTCCCCTATTATTGGTGATGGTAGGTCTGATCAACTGGTCAAGGTGACAGTCACCAGATTTCTCCACTGTCAAGGTATTGAGGTATCTTCTTCCCTTTAGATAATCCCTTGAGGCTGTGTGACTATTCTCCTCCCCAGGGATCTCCCACCCAGTGGTTTGGTATCCATTGATGAGTCTTACCTCAATCAGTTATTACCATGGTGGTTGTGATAAGGAGATTTTCTATTTTGATCATTCCTCTTACTCATATTAGTTGGCATTGTTTTGTAAAAAAGATCTTTCCTTTCTCACCCCCTTTAAAATAATTTAGCATTAGTGAGAACTCATGGATGACTTTTCCTATTCATTGTGTTTTAAATCATCCCTGTCCTTGTTCACTTTGATGCTCATAGTAACCCAAACTTGGTCAGTGGAGCTACTTCAAGCTGGATCCTGGGTCCTTTTGACATTGGATTTGGGTGTCCATTGGATTTCTAGCACTTTCTTGCTTTTTGACTCAACAAAATGTTCCAGATTCACCTTTTGCATAAATGCATCCTGATAATTACATCACATAGGAGGTTGGCCAGCTCCTCATCCCATATTTCTCTGACCACTGCTTGCTGCGGAGGACTTCTTAGTCTCTTGCAAACCCCAGGCTTTGAATCGTGTGATAATATCCAATTTTCAGGCACAAAGATGGCTGAATTGACTCTGCAAGTCGAGAGAAAATAAGACTGGAAGTGCTGCCATAAATTTACCTATGCTTCCGCCCCCCGCCTTCAAAGGAGGAAGTTTGCATTCACATCCAGTCTCCAAGGGTCTTTATTCTCAGTGCGATCTGTAACAGAATGGACCTGATGTCCTCGTGTGTGTGTGTGTGTGTGTGCGCGCGCATGACATCTACAAAAGGCAAGCCTACGCACCCTTTTGAGTACATGTGACTATGGCGAGTGTGTGGATCCACATCCATCTGTGGAGGGCCAAGTGGGAAGGGCACGGACTGTGGAGTTAGGCCCACCTGAATACAGTCATGCTTTTACCACTGACTAGCTCTGTGACCTTGGGCAGAATGAGTGAGCCACCCTGAGTTTGTCTTCTCGTCTTGGCGTCAGGCACA